GATTCTTTATTTTCTGCATCTGTCAAGTTCCAGTCTGATACAGAAATCACAAGAGACAGAGGCCACATAGTTATTTGAACAGGGAAAGTTTAAAGACTTATTAACTATAACTGAGGATTGGAGTACCAAGGGAATTGGGTAGGAAGAAGCAAAGAGAACTCTAAAGAATATAGGTACCAATTCACAATTGCAAAGGTATGGAATCAACCTATGTGCCCATTAACTGAGGAGTGGATAAAGAAAATGTGATACATATATATACCATGGAATACTATTCAGCAACTTGGATGGAACTGGAAGGCATTATCCTAAGTTAAGTAACACAGGAATGGAAAACCAAATACCACATGTCCTCACTTATAAGTGGGAGCTAAGCCATGGGTATATAGGGGCATACAGAGTGGAACAATGCACATTGGAGATGAAGGAGGGGAGAGGTTGTGGGGGATGAGGGAAGAAAAACTACTTATCAGGTGCAATGTACACTATTCAGGTTATGGGTACATTAAAAATCCAGACATCACAACTGCACAATTCATCCAACCAATTCATACACAATTCATGTAACCAAAAACCACTTGTACCCTAAATCTATTGAAATATAAATGAAAGAAAGAAAGAAAAAGAAAGGAAGGAAGAAAGAAAGAAAAAGAGAGGAAGGAAGGAAGGAAGGAGGAAAGAAAAAAGAATATAGATGCTATGGTCTGAATGTTTGTGTCTCCTTTCCCCAATTCATATGTTGAAACCTAAGGTGATGGTATTTGGAGGTGGGGCCTTGGGGGGTGATTAAGTCATGAGGGCTATATCCTCATGAATGGAATTAGTACCCTTAAAAAAGGGATTTGAGGAAGCTGTTCCCTTTCCCACGATGTGAGGCATAGGGGAAAAAAATGGCTATCTATGAATCAGGAAATCAGCCCTCAATCAAACATTGAATCTGCCAGTGCCTTGATCTTGGACTTCCCAACCTCCAGAAATGTGAGAAATAAAATTCTGTTGCTTATGGTGTTTTGTTGTAGCAGTTTGAATGGACTAAAACAATAAAGGATAGCAGATATCAGAAGCAGTACTTCCCATGGGGCTGAGATAAAGCAGCCAAGGTAGAGGCCCCTCCAGGATTGAGATCCAGACCTTGTTGGAGAAGGCACAGCTGTGCCTCACTGAATGGCAGAGCAGTTGCTATGGTGCCATGCTAGCAGAACTTGCTGGAAACCTGCCATTTGGAACTTTCTAGAAATCCTCCCCTTACGTTGCTGTGGAAGGCTGTTCATGGTGAGGTGTCTCTCTGGGGGGACCCTGCAGCAAAACTGCCCTGGGGAAGGGTGGGGTGTGGTAGGAGACACACTGTTGGCCCCTGTGTGCTGTTGCCGCTCTGCACTGTAGGAGCCACATGCTGGAGAAGCTGCCTGTGTTGCAGGAGCTGGACACTGTTGAAGCTGCTCGTGCTGCAGGGTCCAGAGATGCACCCCTGGGTGCAGGAACCTGTGAACGGAACATCCTTCTGTCTTACAGGGAGGGAAAGAGGGAAATCCTTTTCTTGTGTAACGTCTTTCCAGTGCTTTCTATTGACAGTTTAACTTCAAGCCATCTGGTAAAGAAAAACATTTAAAGGGTACACCATTTTAACAGAGCAGGCAATGAGGGATGAATTTGGAGCTGAGAAGAAATAAAATCACAAATGGCACACTCCCTTTCCCTTAATATGTTGTTTATGAATTACTGTATCTTGAAAATTTTTTATGTTTTCTTGGTGTGGAAATCCATTCATTCATTCAACAAACATTTACTCAGAGCCTGTAATGTTCTAGGTACTTATGTATAGCAGACATTATAGGCTGTTGCCTAATAATAATTCCCCCATTTTTTCTTAATAATAGAATCCCAATATTGTTCTGCTCTGTATGCTTCTCTTTGTCATAAGCTTTAGGGAAGTCTGGTCCCAGTCTCAGCTCCATGGAGTGAGTGGAGCCCAGTGCCATGGAGTGAATCACAACTGGTCTAAATGGGTTTTGGTGACCCCCTTTTCTTTGCCATCAATAGGTCTTTGATATACTTCTGGTCAATAGGACATGAGAGGGAGTCTGCAGAGAGGCTCCTAGAATAGGTATTTCCACCATCTTAATAAATGGTTTTCAGAAAGAAATAATTCTCTTCTGTTGCTGGACATTGTCATGCTTCCACATGAAGTCTGGAACATTGGTGGCCATCTTGGTCCTTTGAAGAGAGGTAGATATTAATAGTTTGAGGAGATCCTACTAGCAAAGCAGGAAATGGAAGTAAATGGAGGAATTATCCAAACCTAGAAACAACTACTGCTGGGCTTCTTGCTTTAAAAATCATTTTGAATTGTTACTTGTAGTTAACAGATATGCTAGACTCTTTTTTTTTTTTTTTTTGAGACAGAGTCTCACTTTGTTGCCCAGGCTAGAGTGAGTGCTGTGGGGTCAGCCTAGCTCACAGCAACCTCAAACTCCTGGGCTCAAGCAATCCTCCTGGCTCAGCCTCCTGAGTAGCTGGGACTACAGGCATGTGCCATCATGCCTGGCTAATTTTTTCTATGTATTTTTAGTTGTCCAATTAATTTCTTTCTATTTATAGTAGAGATGGGGTCTCGCTCTTGCTCAGGCTGGTTTCAAACTCCTGACCTTGAGCGATTCGCCCGCCTCAGCCTCCCAGAGTGCTAGGATTACAGGCATGAGCCACCGTGTCCAGCATATGCTAGACTCTTGAGATGACGAATAGGAATAAGATACGGTTCTTATTTTCAAGAGGCTCACAGTCTGGTCAGAGAAACAAATAAGTGAAATAAAAGTTTAAGATTACTGTGATAAAGAAGGACAGTAGTTGAATTCAAATGCAATGTACTAGTTTCAGGCTAATGATAAAGTTGAATTAGAAAAGAGAACCCGATCAAGAGAAAATATTTTGTAAAGTTGCCTCTTGAAATGAAACATTTCCAAATTTCCCTGCAAATAAAAAACTACACAATATAATATACTTGATCAGAGATTTCTCTCTTCCCCAAATTCTTCCTGGTAATAGTAGAAAAGATTAACTAACATTTGTTAATTAATACTATTTTTCAAAAAAATATAAAAATGAGAAGAGAAATACAAAGTTGTAGCTACAATGAATAGCAGCAACACGTATAACAAGGAAAAACGTTTTTATCTTAGTTTTGTACCTATAAAACATGGTACTGTATATATTCAATTACAAAGAATGTGCTGAATTATTCAAAGGAACTGGGTCCCAAATTGCAGATTTCTCTCACATTTCTCTTATTCAATTGAGAATTGTAATCAGCTGTTTGCTAGTATAATTAAAGTGCATATGCAAGCTTGATTCCAAGTGGAACAGTTGGAAACCGAAACAGATTACCTTACTTTCACAGTTAAGTGAAGCTGAGTGACCCTTATCTGTATTTCAAATTTCCCTATAGCTTTCATTTGTTCACGACTGCTGCTGCCTCTTATTTGCAGGTTGAATGATGGTTTCTATGCTTTCCTTCTTGGAATCTTCAGGCTGGCTTTCTACAGACAACTAAAAGCAGAAGCTTAAGGTATTCGTTTTTTTGAATAATTCAGGAGAAAAACCACTTCTTTTATTCAGTAACACATAACACACCAGGCACACTTCTGCCTCTGGGCCTTAGTTAGCACTTGTTCTCTTGGCCTCACATTTTCTTCCTATAGTTATCTGCATGGCTCTCTCCTCCACTTTCTTAGTCACCCTCTAATTAAGGCCTTCCTTGGCTACCTTATCTATATTTCATCCCTTCCCCTCTACTTTATTTTGTTTTATTTTTTAATTTTGTAGAGATGAGGTCTTGCTATGTTGCCCAGGCTGGTCTCAAGCTCCTGGCCTCACGCGATCCTCCTAACTTAGTGTCTGAAAGTGCTGGATTATAGGCATGAGCCACTGTTCATGGCCCCCCTTCACTTCAAATTCTTCTTCCCCATTTATTTTTTCTTCCTCACCAGTTTTGAACTTCTAACATAACCAGTTAGGTACTTATTTATCTTGTTATGTTTCCCCAATAAGATTGTAAACCCCCTGAGGGCAGAAATTTTGTCTATTTGTCTCTTTTCTATACTAACGAATCCTTAGTATCTAAAACAGTGCCTGGTATACTTAAGTGCTTAATAAATGTTTGTTAACTGACTTACAGTGGAATGAAGACTAGGAATCATAAAGGCCTGGGGTAGAGACATTCTGTTTGACCTAGGGTAACTCCCTTCCCCTTTCTGAGCCTCAGTTATCTCATCTATAAAGTGGAAATAATAACTATTTCACAAAAATAGTTATTCAAAAATAGTATTTCAAAAAAATATAAAAATGAGAAGAAAGAGAAACACAAAGTTGTAGCTACAATGAATAGCAGGAATAAGTATAACAAGGAAAAACACTTTTAGCTTAGTTTTCTACTTATAAAACATGGTACTGTATATATTCAATTACAAAGAATGTGCTGAATTATTCAAAGGAACTGGGTCCCAAATTGTAGTTTTAAGGGTTTAATGAGAAAATGGAAGCCAAGTATCTTATCCTATTGGAGTCATACAATAAGTATTAGCTCTCTCCCTTTTACAATTGGGGAAAGACCTTAGAGATTTATTTTCTGATATTATTCCTTCTCCTTCCACAATCCTTCTTTATGGGTATATCAGTCAGGACCCCAATATGAAAACCTTTTGAAGGTACACTCAAATTGAGATCAATTGAAGAGGGTTTAATTTACAAAGCATCATTTGAGGAGGACTGAGGTAGAGGGGAACATGGGAGTTAGAGAAGGAACCCAGGGAATAGCAGAGCAGTCACAAGACCTAGGCCCAAAGGTTCAAGGGGAAGGAATGACAGTTGGGTAGAGCAGTTTGTCTCCCAAGGAGCAATGACTCTCTAGAACACAGGTAGTCCTAGGTGACCTCACAGGAAGGGAACCAGGGGAGCAGTCTGACCTCACACTCCTTTCTCCCTCAGACGATCTCCTGCTGAATCTACTGTCATCAGAACCAACCAGAAGGCAAAAGGCTTATGATGTCAGCCAAAGAGGTTAACCTCCAGGACAGAGAGCAGATGGAGAAGGATGTAGAGTGAATCTGTAGGACCAAAAGCAAGCTACCCAGCCCAGTGACCTTACTATCTCTCTGGCACTTGCTGTGCAAGGGATAGAGACTAAAGATATGGTCCACCTCTCAACTGACTCACAGCTGGGCTGGGATGACAGTCCAATAAACAGATCTGCAACACAGTGCAGTAAGTGTCATACAGAAGGCAGCACACGGTGCTATGGGCATATGTAAGACAGGTATCTCTTTCACAACTTAAATTGTGAAGTGGGTGCTGGTGCTGGTGGTTTCCCTGCGAAAGCTCCCTGGAGATTAAGGTTGGCAAGACAATTCAGGGCCCATTGAAAAGTAGGACAATTTGGGCTCATTTTAAAGTATGATAATTCTTAAAAAAGATGAAATTAACTTCCCCTCAAGAGATTTTCCTGAGGAAACACAAAAAGATAGGAGAATGGCCTGGAAATGAGGATGAAAGTAAGGGGTAGAATAGGATAATTTCAAGGGTTCTTTCTAGTTTTAACGTTTTAATGATTTAGTTTTTGTTTTTTTATTGTTACTTCTGACCAGACAGTGGGGCTTTAATAAATGCAAACAAGTATAAAATTTTGTAATAATCTCTCATGTTCACAGAATTTGACTTTAAGCTTCCACAATGAATGGTCTTAGCAAACTTTAAATTTAGGGAGGGGTATAATAGTTTGAAAATAAACCACCTAAGCTTATTACATAGTGAAACCTAAAATAATCTACAAAAAGGACTATACTGGTATACACTATTATTGGACAAGTTTAATTTGGGTTAATATTCATATTATTTAACATTCTCTTCATATTCATTAAACCCTCTATGATTCTACATCTTGACAATTTCTACCAAAAACGAGTAAAATTATTATATAGCAGCAATATATGGTTATAAGAAAGTTATCCATATGTAATTTAAGCTTAAACAGTATACACACAATATGGATGCATGAAGGGGTCAAATTATTAATACAATAGGATGTGGGCTGTTGGGAGCAGGTTGAGGTAGAGAACCAGAGAGGGAAGGAAACCAACTTTTCTTCAGTTCTCTTTGAGGCACGATAATTTGTGATAGGCTTGCCAGGTTACCCAGTTGGACAGCATGCAAGACCCAGGTGCACTGAATTTGGTGCACTGAGCGATCTCGTTGAAGCAATTCTTTTCTCTGTAATTAGATGTAATTATTGTGAAATGTAGTGAGGAGCTTGTCCACAATCCAAAGCAAACAAGAATTTCCAGAAGTATCCTCAGTCCTGTAGCTACAAACGTCAAATGGCTGGGGGAAAACATAACCAATAATTATAAACAGAACTAGAGAGGGAAGCGTGGGCAGTTAGTAATACTTCAAACGGCTTCACAAGATGTTTGGGATGTATCACTGGGAAATCCAGAGAAATGAGTCAAATGGGATTGGGGCAAACAAAGCGAATTGGAGCGCAAGGCCTCACCCTCTCGCCTTTCCAGTGCTTTCCTCTCGCCTTTCCTCCTGCTTTCCCCTCTCCCGACTCCACGGCCAGCCCCGCCCTCCGTCCAGGCCCCGCCCCTCTCGCGGGCCGCGGCCGGCCCCGCCCCCTCCGCGCTCCAGGCCCTGCCCACCCACTCCCGGCAGCCGCGGCCGCCGCCGGCGGCGAGGGGCGGGGCGGGTCGGGTCGGGAGGAGCAGTGCTCCGGCGCGGGAGGGAGATCCGCCGCGGAGTTACGGGAAAGTTGGTCCGAGTTCCCGGAGTTTCCCTCTCGGGTTCCCCGGGTTCGGCCGGTCGGTGACCCGGCTCCTTTCCTCCTCCGGCCTTTGCCATCCGTCAGGTCCCTCTTTCTGCCCCCGGCCGCCATGGAGCAGCCGCCGGCGCCTAAGAGGTAACGAACGCGGGGAGTGAAGAGAAGCAGGGGAGCGGCGCCGGCGGCCGCGGGGCCGGGGCGGCTAGGCCAGGCCCTACTGCGACCCTCTCCCCGCCCGCCGGGCCGGGCCGCGCGCGCAGAAGGCCGGGAGGCAGGTCCGAGCGTCCGGCCGTGCCCGTCCACGAGGCCAGGGCCCTGAGGGGAGGCCGAGCGTCGCCTCCCCCGCGGCCGGCCGGCGGGCCCTGGGCGCGTGCAGGGTTGGGTGGGCAGCGCCCGGCTCCCCGCGGCCTGACCTCCTTGGGCGGGTGGAGTTTTCTCTAGTGGCAAGTTCCCAAAGCCTAGGAGACCTAAAACTAGAAAATTACTGGTCTTCTTACAACCATGTAGGCTTTCTTGTCAAATGTTCTTCGTAATATTGCCTTTTTTTTTTTTTTTGAGAAGGTGGGTTGCTCATTAACAGTTTAAAGAATGAAATATTAATAGCTACACAGTCTGTAAAACTTGTTGTGGATATGCTGCACTGACAGGTGTTACTCCCCCCTCCCCAAGTTCAAAAGTATTTATGGATGCAAGACCGTAGCACTCTTAAATTAGAATCTCCCCCGATATATTTTTGGGTGTAAAAATAGTGATACTTTGATATGGTGGTGTTAGTTTATGTTTAATCTTCGATATGTGTGTTGGAAATGATGCTTTGCAGTGATTTTAGGGATCTAAATCAAAGTTGTCCATTGATACAAATTCATAATGTGCATTTTACCCCCAAGAATGAATCAACTAATTATTTGATGTTGGATAAAACATTTAACCTCAGTCTTTCATTTTTAATTTATAAAATAAGGGTACTAATCCCTTCCCAGATAATGCTGTGGTGAAGATTAAAGAGTTCATGTGCTTTGAAAACTAGAGATCTTTAGATGAAAGGTGTTGTATACGAGAACATGGAATAATTGGAAAGGTAGGAACTTTGGGAGCTATTGTGAATTGTATGAGTTTTAAGGTCGAAAGCCATTTGTTCAGGTTAAAAAAGGGAGGGCGTGGAGTGCTTTCCAAAAGGGACCTTCAATCAGCCAGAAACCTTGAAACAAGTCAGTTGATTGTTTTCTAGCATTTTGTAAGATGTCTGTATTCTACTCACTGGGCAGCCAGTTTTAATACTATAGAAGAAAATCAGGGACTTTTTTTTTCTTTTCTGGAAGGACTGGAAGGGAGACCCTAATGCCATAGGCCAACTCGAACAGCTCTGCATTGAAGTAGCAGCTCTCTGTATTGATTAGCTCTGCTGTAAGTTATCAGAATTTCATTATAGGTATATGGAATCCCTGCCTTTGCAGAGACATTAGAGAACCTAGGGGAGTCAGGGGTAGGTGTGCGTGGTAATTCCATGGTGATTTATACTTTACAAAGTGGTGGTTGCATATTTAACAGACTCATTTTTAACTTTCTTCAGAGAGACTTATTTTGAAGTAATGAGCAAAAATGCTAGGAAGGCATTTTTGAAGAGCCAAAGATATGTTATAATAATCCCTTATATTTGAATATCTCAAAATTTCTTATAGCATTTTTATATTCTTAATATTTAATTCTCTCAGCAAGCCTATGGAGTAGGTTGAACTATACGCATTAATCCTATAGATGAGGTGAAGACTCTAAGAGAGTTTGCTGCAGGGAAGGCTATGACAGGAATTACTGGCAGTTTTTGTGTTGCCTCTATGGATCATTACCTTCTAATAATAAAATATATAGCTACCATTTTTGAGGTTGTACTGTTGGCCAGGAAATTTATATATACATTTCTTTATTTAATCAGCCTAAGAAATAGTAATCCTGGCTCTGCCACTTACTATGCTAGTTCTAAATTTAAATTTCTTCATCTGTAAAGTGTATGGTGGGTATTAAATGAGGTCATATGTAAAGCATTTAGGACAGTGCTCCATAATGTATTCAGTAATGTTAGCTGTTAATTTATGTTTTCCCTATTAAATGAGGCTCAGACAGGTTAAATAACTTGAGTCAAGTGGAGAAGGTGCCAGAGCTCTGGGTTTGATTGGCTTCAGAGGCTGTCTACCCTCTCATTATGCTCCATTTTGAAACTCACTTTCTTAGTATTCCATGATGTAATGGTCATTCTTTTTCTATAGTCTCCTGGTCCGCTTTGCTTGTTCTCTTAGTCCCTGTAAGAATGCCATTTTGCTTTTCTGCCTTGAGTAACGCTTCTCTAGTGCTCACTTTTGTATGATCATATCGCTGGGCGTGGTGGCTCACATCTGTAATCCTAGCCTCTGGGAGGCTGAGGCGGGAGAATCTCTTGAGGTCAGGAGTTTGAGACCAGCCTGAGCAAGAGTGAGACCCCGTCTCTACTTAAAAAAAAAAAAAAAAAAAGAAAGAAAAATTAGCTGAGTGTGGTAATGTATGCTTGTCCCAGGTTCTTGGGAGGCTTAGGCAGGAGGATTGATCGCTTGAACTCAGGGGTCTGAGATGCAGTGAGCTATGATCACGCCACTGTATTCAGCTGAGGTGACAGAGTGAGAATCTGTCTCAAAAAAAAAAAAAAGGCCTTATCTGTGTTGCTGATGTTAAGTCTGTATGACCAGCAGCTGCTGCTCAGTTGGCATTTTTTCATGTAGGTCTACTCTTTCATTATCCCATCTCATTTGTCACTAGATCCCATCAAATTTTCTATCAAAAAGTCTAGATTAATTTTTCCCTCCTTTGCATTCCCAAGAATACTACCCTATTCCAGGGTTTATACCTTCACACTTATATTGCACCAGTACCTTCCAACTAGGCACTTTAGCTTAGTGGTTTTCAAAAATACTTTAATAGCAGAAACATTTTAACAGCATAAGGGCTCTGTTTGGACTAGGGTCAGGGTACCAGGACCTAGTTTCCAGTCTCTTATTCCTTTCCCCTTTTGCCATCCTACTGAACCTCCTAATGCTCCATAGGACACAGTTTGCTTTAGTTCATCCTGCACATAGCTTTTGATTTATTTTGTAAAACATTACTTTGATCATATTACTCTTTTAAAAAAAATTCTTATTTTTATTAGGAGCACACTTGTCTACTTAATATTCAAAGCCTGTTGGTCTCAGTCTTAACCTGCAGCCTTCAGTTTCTATTCTCCAAGATGAATCTGTCCTCATGAAGTTTTCCTATTGTTCTTTATTTAAGTTGTAGGCTGTGGGTACTCCCAACTTTGCCTTTGTTCACACTTTTCCTTTAGAAAAGTTTGTGTTATTTTTTGCCTGAAGAATAATCTGTTTTATTCTTCCTTCAAGGCCTGCCTCATAAAGTATCTTCTCTGAGTGCTTTCTAGCTCAAGATA